CAGCAGCACCACATGTACTGATCGAACTCACATGTTCGATAACTGTGGAGGTCACAACATGTGACTGGAGGGTTTAGGTGAAGGGATGCGGAGGGGGGGCAACAAAAATTCGTGAAACAAAACCTGAACCCTCCCACCTCAGCCCAATAACTGCGGAAGACATGACTGCATTAACTCACTAGTTTTCTCATGACATACTCGAAAACTTCTGACTCACAATTAAAGCGCTATCACTACGTGACAGCATGCTTAATTGTTTGTCATCTACGTTCGTTTAAATGCACATAAAAAACAAATCTGAAACTCTCGCACCATGAGCAAACTTTTTTCCTTCGGAATCGCGGGGATCCAACTGCTGTGCCTGTCCCCCACTTATCCGTTTCCAGCTTCGAACCTTTGCCTTTCTAGGATGAGGCTCACACGCCTTCCAACTTCTGCTGACGGCACATGTTCTAAACCTTCTGTGTCTCCTCTTGAGGGATTGTCTGCAATATTGGATGGTGATGGTACTCTGCAGTACCATGCAAACAAGCCTAAGGAGTCTTCTAGCTTGAGCAACCTTTCTAACAGAAGGCTGGCAACTGCGCTCCGAGCTTTTGCGCTGATTCCTACGTCCCTAGCTCCATTGTTGTCAATACAATATACTATTGGTTTATGCTTGAGTGTTGTGGCCCACCTGGAGGTGGCCACTACCACCGCAAGGAGTTCCGCTTCGAAGATGATTGTCTTCTTTGTTTCTGCTCCTAAAGCATTCATTTCACTCTCCGTCAGTTGATACGAGAAGTATTCAAGCAAAGCACCTTGTTCTGACACGAGCACACCACCTATGCCACATGGCCATTCACTGTGTGTTGCGTCGTAGCATGCGTCTGTGAAAATGTACATTGCTCTAGACTTACAAGCATCTATGGATCGGGGTTTGCTTGCCACTAGATGGTGCAAATACCTTTGCAGCGCGGCTCGGGCATTCTTATCTATCTTGTGTTTACCAGGATTGCAAAGCCTTGAAATTTCATTCAAGCAAAGTCTTCCTAAACGACCATAAAGTTGCCCTTGTGCAAACTGCAATTTACCTCTGAGGACCTGACCTTCTTTGCATGTGATCGAGTTTTTCGACAAAATTGCTTCTATCAAGCTTCTGAGGTCTTGCTTCCGCTTCTCAGTGTTAGCGAATGTCACTCTGCCCCAAAGTGAGTCCGCCAGACAAATTTCTATGCCTAGCGCCTTGATTGAAGGCGAGAAGATTGAACTTTTTTCTCCATCTTCATCGTACTGCCAACCAAGGAGTTTGAACAGCGAACAGATGGCAAAGTCAGTGCTTTGCTTTAGCCCTTGTTTTGAAAAAGCTACGAAATCGTCAAAGAACACACTCCACGGAATACACAATCCCACCGCTCCTATAAACCACAAGGATTTGACTACTCTCAGAAATGCAAACACGGATCTTGTGGCCCCGAACGGGACCGCAAGCAACTGAAAGATAGCCGGTCTGTTGGTGTGAGGATTGTGACATGCAACGTACGGGGCTTTTAACGATTCTTCCGATAACGCCATTTGTTTGTAGGCTGACTTTAGATCATATGATCTACCTACTAATGCTTCCGAAGGCATCTTTTTCATCAGGCCTAAGAGCAGAGCACCTATCACATCTGTATTAAAGGGCTTTGGAGATTCTGCTGCTTGCACTGTGAGATTCTGGCCTCCCATGGTCAGGTCATCTATCAATCTAACTTTTTCGCCTTGTTTCAGACCGAACCGGTGGCCCACGAGAGCATTGTCAGGAAGCTCCGAAGCGTTCACTGGGCCCCGAACCCAGCCTCTGTTGACTTCGTCGAGTGTCTTTTGCCAGACCACTTTATCCATGTCTTTGCAACCACTGCTACAGGTCTTAGCGAAGACTTTCTCCCTATAAGCTTTTGATTCTTCGTTAGCTTGGGCTAACGTGATTGAGGCAGGTTTGAAGCTTTCCGGGAACACACCAGTGGTTGGGACTTCCCCCAATAGGTCTACTCCGTTTATGACTTCTTCTGTCACGGCTAAATCGGGGTACTTCAGGTCTATTAGAATTTCTTTCCAGAGAAGCAATCGTTTTGATTCCAGGATGGGCCGCATGTGCGGAGGCATGTCTCTTTTCAAAAGATTTTCGTTTCTCTTCAAATCCCAATCCTGAGACCTGTTCGACCACCTTTTTATCCAAGCTAATCTGTTCGATGCTACTTCAAAGTCTGAGCTGGCAGCTAGTTTATCAACTGTGCTTTGCAGAATTTCGGGTAGAAACGAATCGATTAGCTTTGGGTGGCCTGCTTTTACTGCTTGTTCTACGAACTCTGCAGGAGTCCATGGCACTCCCCATGCTTGTTCACTAATTGCCGTCAAGTCGTCGTCCAGCCTTGTTTTGTCTGTCTCCCCTCTTAACCGGAGTGGAGTTGCGCGCAAGAGTTGGGAGTATTTGGGAATGAGTGGCACTTTCGCAGTGAGAGAGGGTGGCAACACCCAATCAGTTTGAAGGCGCTGCATGGGTTGACATGGCGGGCTCATGTGTTGCGTAGGGCCTCTAACTACATAACACGCACGATGTTCTGAGATGGCATGTGCAAAACGCGCTGCTTTTGGCTGATGATTGACTATGGCCCGCAGCAAGCGGTCGTTTCGTTGGAAAGTCCGTTCGTCAGGTCTCCAACCAGCAGAAATTAAGTCAAGAACGAAACACTCAGCAATGGCAAGGGCAAGCTTGGGCGGGTAGGCCGTTTCCAATGACGTTGCAAAGGTGTTGCGATGCCCTTTCGGAAGGACACCCCAAGGTTCATGAGGGTGAGCTTCAGTGATGCCTGGACATGTTTTGGAAAGCGATGCAAAAACTGGCCTGTTGAATGCAATTGCTGTCCATTTGGGTCTCGTGGACCCATATGCACAAGCCTGATGGGCAACATACTTGAAGTGTCCTGCGTGTTTCAACCAAAAACGAGTTCTCCAAAACAAGCTGGAACGCAGGTTCTTGATAGCCATGATCAAGTTACGTTCAATGCCTACGGCAATGGCCTGTTGGAGGAACTCATACACGGCATTTGCTGATTTTACTCGAAGGAGGCTCGTGCCTCGGAGATTGTGAAAGCCCTCCGGGAACTTCCTAGAGCGAAGTGGCTTTGGGCCTCTGCGAATTGGCAATGGTATCATTCTTGCCAAACTACAAGTTCCACATGGCGGTGCAGCGAAGAACCCTCGAACTAGTGGGTGCCTCAACCATTGAAGAACTAATTGTTGGCCTCTGGCATTCGACAAGTCAACAGTGTACAATGTCGTCAAGTTTGAGCATCGTATACGATCAATCCCGCGTGATTGGTTTAATCCCAAGGCTTTGAGACAAGCAGTGACCCTACCTGTACCTGCAAAGAGCTCGATGATGACTGGCTCTGTTGGGCTAAAGCTTTTGTTGCGCACTGGTGTGGTGAAAGGTCTTACGGGCTCCGTGGAAGCTGTTGCGGTATTTTTTGATTTTGGAATCTGTACACGAGAGCGAGTGATCTCACTTTTTTGCTTTTTCTGGACGTGCCCCTGAGTTTCAGGGTCACCTACCTCAATGCTTCGTTTGAAGTCTTGGAAAAATTTGGGCCCCACAGAAGAGCAAACTACTGCAGGCTTAGAGTCGCTACCTTGAGTGGATCTGCTATACATATCACAAGGCACCGAATCAGGCGGTAATGCATCTAATTCTAATTTGTCGTGACGGCTGGATTTAGTGCTACAGTCACCTGGGCCTAGTCATGGTCCATGGTTCTGCATTGAATGGTCTTGGAAGCACTTGCAACACACGTGTTTGCCTTTCATGCACGATTCACCCGGCTTGGCTTGGCTACATCCTCCTAGGTTGTAGCTATAACAGATCGATTCGCCGTCTGGCGTTTCAGCCACTCCTCCTTTATCAGCTATGGCTGCTGGGATCTTGTAAAATTTGGACCCAGACTTGTTTTTTCCTTTGCTTTTTCCTTTGCCCTTGGATTTTCCTTTGCCGTCTTTATCGAACTGCGGTTTGTACACCGGTTGAGGCTTTGGCTTTGGCTTTTCTCTTGCTGGCAGTGGAATCAGCGTGAACGAGACTTGATATGACTCTAGGGCTTCAATCAAGGCCTTGTCCATGGGGCATGCACCTGTATCATTCCTCTTGGGTTTGATGCCGTTTTCGATCATCTTCTGGAAAACCATCTTGTCTGCTTGCACCAACTGCGAAACTGTACATCTAGAAAAAATTTTCCGCGGCTCCCTATGCAAGTGCGAAAACAGCTGCGTCAGGTACCTGTCGTAGCATCGGAAAGACACTGCATCTGCGAATGTGTAAGCTAATCCTCTCCTTTTCAGAGCCTCCAACACTTGCAACGCTGATGTTGCAGTTTCGTCCGGGATGTTCGCTGACTCCTTGACTACCAATCGTTCTGATTCCAAAGCCACTTGTTTGGTCGGTGTTTTACCGCATGTCACTTCATGTACCCTACTGGCGCAACGCTCTGGCGCAATGTAGGAGATCTGGTTTACTTCTCTCTGATGCACGCAAAGCTGTAGCAGGGAGTGGCTTGGCTCCAGCGGGCCCTCTATGAGGATTCCAGTCAATGACGCTTTCAATCCGGCAAGTCTCTCTTCTCTCTCTGCATCTGGAATCTTCTTCCCATGGGGTTGGTCCACTCCAGTGACTTGTTCTTTTAATGAGGCCAATACCAAAGTCTGGCTCTCGAACAACAATCTTTTCATGGATGCAGATTCTCCCAGGGAAGGCGCTGCACCGAGAACATTGTTCAGCCATTCTGAGAATTTCGCCTCATCTATGGCCTGGCCTGGTTGACCGTGAGAGTATGCCAAGGTTCCCATGGCCTCCACCCCTGCCAACTCTAATGCTCTCAAGCATTGTCTGCTCACTCCTATCTCCTTTGCGCGGGAGGCGAAGTGGGCTTTCGATTCAGTCAGAGAGGTCATTGCAATGAAACCGGGTGGTTGAAAAGAAAATCTAATTAATTCTGCATGACCTCGTGGCTAAAAACACATCATGATTTATACGCATTACATTCTTCATTAAAAACAAAAACTGAAGAAATCTGGATTGACATGTACGACACTTCACTCCAGAGCTACTTAGCTCATGCTTTCCATCTTGAGCCCATTCATGACTCGTTCACGCACATCGACATCAGCGCACGCCACATGCGTGCATCTCAGAACAAGGTGTACGAGTTCTGAGCTACGGTGCCACATGCAACCACAAGACTTGTTACACAAGTGCAACTTCATCTACTTAGATGACAACTTGTCAGTTCATGCTGATTCCTGAAAACAAATCACATGCTCATGACACAGTGACTCTCCGAGACAAGAACCTATGCGGACTTTTTTTTCACTGCCTGCGCCTGCAAAGCGTGCACTTCACGTGTTCCATGTCTGGCAACGAAGCAACCTGATAACTGCCGGTTATTGGCCTACCACACGCAAAATTGTCCAATGGCACACAAGTGCTGATGCTCCGGTCATACAAGTGCAAAATGCATGACTTTTTATGGATGTACCACATTCGGCTGTCCTTGGCTGCATTTTGATTCATCTTTCTCTGTTTGGACGGAGGCTCTTCTGGCTCAGTCTCTGAACTACTGCTCGACTCCGAGCTCGACGACGCGTCGCTACATTCGATGGCCCCATCAATCTGCAGGGAGTCTTCAGTCTTGATCAGATCCACTGTTTCTGGAACTGTTTCCTGAACACCCGGGCATTCTGGGAAATATCCGCTACGAAAGGCATCTGGACAAAAGACCCCTCTACTTATGTCCATGATTATTTCTTGCAATCTTCTGGTGGGACCAATGGCTAGGTCTCGCGCATAGAAAGAAGAAGTTTCACAAGTCACTGACACGCGTCGGCCTAACACCGAACGATCTGGCTGGCTCATTCCATACTTGCTACACCAACTCAAAGCTGTTGATTTGAGACTGTGCGCACTCAAACCAGACTCCTTTCTGTCAACTTTGAGCAAAAGGTTCAGCATGTCAGTCACTTCTTTCGACGAGACTCCTCGCTTGCACCACTCACTGCAATCATCTATGGTCCCTGTGAAGGCCAAACCCAATTCATCGAAGAGGGCTGCAGCCTCGTGGATCCATGGTCTACCATGCACACCTGTGGCGGGCACCAAGATTGGGAGCAAAACTGATTTGCTGGCTGCACTTCTACTGGTCTTGCGCAAGCTAGTTCGAAACTCTACAAACCCTCCAAGCTTGTCGAAGTCACAAACTCCGTCCGTCAAACAAGCCAAATCACTGTGCCTGCATCTGCCGTACAAAGCCAGCAAGATGTAGCTACAGAACAGTCTATCGTAAGGATGCATGGAGTCGTCAGTCATCATCCTATGTAGCTCAACAACTTGGTTTACGGTTAAAACAGAAGCTTGCCGAAGAGTGCTCTTTCTGGACATCATCTGGTCACTTAAGCCCTTCAGTCTCTTGCTACTGATTGCTGCGTCGATGGAAAAACCAAAAACGTGCTTCATGAATCTCAAAGCTGATAATAGGGACGACCCTGTTGTGGCCGCACCTTCTTGCTTCAAGTGTTCGAAGTATTTCCACAGCCTTTTCTCGTGCCAAGGATGTTCATCAGAACTGCAATTCTCTGCTTGCCACTTGATTAAGCTAAGGATGCTGTTTGCTCTCTTAACTATGGTAAGCGGCGACTTGACACCCAACACTGCTGATACTATTGACTTGGCCTCTTGCTGCCAGTCTGGAGTACCTTCTAGCTCTGCAATCTGTCTACCAACCTCACTGCATGTTGTATCTATCTGGATGATGCTCAGCCACTTCTCTACACCACCTTCGAAAAGAATTGTTCTCTGGTCTTTGTATGCTTCATCTCTTATCTGTCTTATTGTCTTCTCGAAACACGTCTGGCCTGTTACGAACTTGCTTGTGTGAAGCGCAGCTGACGTTCTGGTTCTTTCAAGTTCACCAAAGTTTTCAGTCAAACCTTTGCACGAAGCCAAAGAGGCCGGAAGCTTTGGCAGGCTAAACGCATTTGGATCTTCGAAGACAATCCTACCGAAATTGGTTTCCCTAGGCAACTCTATGTCACTCTGTTTGCTATGTCTAGCGAACATGCTTTCAATCATGAAACTAAAATCCGTGACTTGCGCCTGTTCGATTGGCGCTGTGGATTCCGATGACTCATGGTCCTGCTCTGAAGGCTCGAATAGTGGCAAGTCTGGCTCGTCTTTTCCAAGGCTGTTTAGGTGGTCGTGCCATGCATGCCCCACCATGCTACTGCCTGCAACTCGACTTCTAGTGTTGTGACTGGACACTGCACTTAAATCACCTAAGGCTGGCAAACTGTCGAGCTTGGCAACTGGGTCTGTGCCAACATGGTCGTTGAGATCACTAGCCAAGTCAAAGTTGCAAGGCGCAGACGAATCCTGATCGAGCTCCAAAACATGCTCTGCATTTGAAGCAACACTGGGAGTATATTTGGGGGAACTGAGTACCTCCAAAGTTTCCAAAGGCATATGAGGATTGTTGCCTTCCCTTCTGTCAAGGTCAACTGGCAATGGTAACTCCGATGATCTGACATTCCTCCATGGCGTCTACTACCCCCAGTTCAACAAAAATTCGTGAAACAAAACCTGAACCCTCCCACCTCAGCCCAATAACTGCGGAAGACATGACTGCATTAACTCACTAGTTTTCTCATGACATACTCGAAAACTTCTGACTCACAATTAAAGCGCTATCACTACGTGACAGCATGCGTCTTTTCAACTTTTCTTTTTTCAAATCAAACCTGTTTTTGATTTTTATTTTGAACCTTTTCATTTTTACGGCCCTGACACGCCAACCAGAAGCCATCTGTTTGGCTTTGCTTAGCCTAGACCTGCAGAGAAAGGATCATCCACTACGTGTACGATTCCATCAAACCAATAACTGCTCCAAGTTGTTTCAACGTTTGAATCGAAAGCAAAAAGGGAGTGGCCTTGGGAACGACTTCAGTCACTATCCACATTCGTGTTCTCTGATATTCTATTGGGATATGTATCTGCTTCAAGCTATGCTCTATCTGATTATTCCCAAACCTAAAGGCTTCCCGGCTGGCTTTCGCTTTCACACGAACTCGAACGGTGCTCGGAAGTTGGTTCTGCAGCACAGGAAGGTTTTCTTCCCCGATGACACTACGGCTTGCGCCGGTATCTAGAATGGCCACGCCATTTGTCTGAAACCCGGATGCTTCCTCGGCCTCATTGATGAGGCCAGTGTCTGGCGAATTCTCTTGCTGCATCGGCATCGGCTGATGACTGGGCTTCCTGGATTCGTTCGAGGACGACCGATTGCCATTTGCAAAGAACAACTTGGTTTGGCTGATGATTCCTTCGGAGAACAACGCTACCTCAATTGGTTCGGATTGGCTTGGGCTCAAATTGTTACTCCTTGGCTCACGAACGAACTCTGCTTTGCAGTTCTTAACTCTTGTTTGACCAACCCCCCAACCTCAGCTTCGGATTCGATCTCTTATCTTTCCCCTTTGACTGACCCTTCCGGGATCCCTTTGCACCCATGGATCCCGCACCTTTTCCAGACTTGTTCAGGCCTTTGATTGAGTGGCCAAAAGCCTCTGCTCCTCCTTCGTTCAACGATGCGGCCTCGGGCCTCCTGATAGCTCAACAGGGCTTGGTGAAGATCTGGAACTTCTTGAAACAGGTCTGTCAACTCTCGTTCAAATCCCTGAACTGTCCATGCGTCTGCATCACCTGAACTTGCCAACTGATCCAACTGTTCAGCTGAAATCTCCTCGTCATCGGCCTGGGCCAAATAAAGACTCTGATCGGCGCCAAAATGGTCTGCCGCATCTCCGGTCGAGTCTTGAGGATCATCGACAAAGTTAGTAGGATAAACTTTCTTCTTGTCATTCATCGAACCTGTCAGCACGCTGGTCGACAAGCTTCGCATTGCATGCTCGATGACCTTCTCGTCAAAATGACCTTTTGTCATCGTCAACACCTTCTTCTTGTCCTCATTTCCAAGATTGCTCTTTTTGAGCAGTACGAATGCCTTCACGGCCTTCAACGTGGTGTCAATGTCAAGTCCCACCTCTTCAAAGGCAACATCCAACCGGTTGACAAACGGTTGAGTTCTCTCGTCCGCCTTCTGGGTTGTCCGGTAAATTGCCTTGTCAAAAAGCTCGAAGGTGTTGAGCTCTGCACTTTCCTCCCAAGATGCCAGGGCGGCTAGCAAACTCTTCACTCCAGTATCAGGATTCGTCAACTTGTCTGCACTGATTGTTCGAACCTGGTGCCATGCAGTACCCTTACACAACATTGCAAGGCGTGGTGCCAGCATGTTGGGGCAGATTCCATCAACGAATTTCACCTTCCCGACATACTCCTTGATGTCGTCCTGACTTGGATCGAAGCTGGGAAGCAGAGTCCAAATTGCCGAGCTCTTCCTCGGATCCCATGGCTGTGCGACAGTCCTATGTCGGGCCTGCTGGGCTCCGCTACCAATGTAGCCGGAAATTTCCAGCTGCATTGGTGGCTTCCTCGCCCTCAAAAAATCTCCTACCAACCTAAAGGAACCTACCTCTATGGAAAATCCTATGGTGGTCCCCCACCCAGTCTGGACGGTCCGCCGCCCTTTTCCACCACTCCTGAGATCCTGTGTCCCACCTTGAGCCAAATCCCGTAGGATCGGCCGAACTCATTCGAAGGCTCCGGTTGGCTTGGTTGACCCTTCATTGGATTCACAATAGTGAGCACATATACATATATGTTGACAAATACAGGTACCAGGTAACATGTAATATGATTTTTTTGCTGGTGTCCATATCCACAATGTCCGATTGACAGGTGACATGTGGAAGGAATCGAGGAAAAAAACTCCTTCAGAGCAAAAAACATCACCTTGAGCGGGCGAGCCAATTTGCTACTCACCTTGAGTGAACCCAAACAAGTCCATGTGACTGGAGCAGTTGCAAACGTGAAACCGAGAACAAATGACCGTAGGGTAAATATGCCAGTCTGATGGAGTGAACCCAACGTCCTTTTGAACCGCGACACGTCGATTGACGGAGCGCCCAAACATGGGACGATCCTTTCCCTTTGGATACGTGATACCCGCGGATCTTTAGACTCTGTGACGTCTCCACGTCTGTCAAAGCCAATTCGTCTTCGGTTGATCACAAAAATTCGAATGGGAACGACCTGGTTCGGTCATCTAAAATCGTGAAAACAATCGCTTCTGCATGCGTCCGTCAAGTCCCTTCAAAGTCCTTTCAGGGACTTTTTCTGAACCCCGCGCACCTAGCGATTGACCTGTTCATGTTCTTTGGGTAAAGACACTTAAAACTTACCAAAGAACTGAACAGGTCTTACCCATTGAACTATTTCGAGTTCAATTATTGTTGCAATCCTAGGTTTTGACGTTTCCATCCACGCTTGAACACGAAAAAGGGGGTATGGCGGCTATGGGTTCTCCCCATTTGCACACCTCTTTCAAAATCTGCAACAGTTGCAATAGGTCATCCATGGCAACCCATCCACCCGTCCATGCTTCGCTTTGGCCCACCAAGCAAAGCTGAAGTCGATGGAAACGAACGGGCAGGATTCCTGTGTATCCGTTACGACTGTTGATCTAGGTGAGGCGACGCACGATCCCCACCAGTGTCAAGTTACGAGAATCTTTTGGGCATCAAAACCGTGACGCAAATCACTGACCCGTTCAGTTTCCTTTGGCGCAACGTGAACTCTTTCCTCCGGGCGGACACCCACTCAGCAAATACTCCTCACCACTGACGTGGTCAGACCACTGGTTTTTTCAACCGCGGCCGCGACAAAGCGCCGCGACAAAGCAGCCCAACCTTCCAAATCTGCTGGTTCTTCTCCTGGGACGCCTCTCCAAAGAAGCGGAAGTGCCACTAAATGGTGAGCTCCGGAATGGTGTCCTTACAAAGCGTGTCACTTCTGCTCAAAGGAAAATGGGAGCGGTCATCAGTAGATTTTTTTGTGGCCCAGTGGTGGTAGTTCAACAGCCCCTGAGGGTTCCCACGCTGCATTGCACAGGAAAAGCAGTCAAACATGTCCAGGTTGATCAGATGTGGCCAACGACTTATACCCACCTTGCTCCGACCATCGTTGTTGGGTTTTCCAAAGCATGCCCCATCGACCACACCTGCTGGTGTTGTAGCCTAGAACCTTGGTACTTGAGGAAACGGGGGTGGACGAAAGGTAGCATGTCTGCTGCTGCTGCTGCTGCTGCTGCCGCCGCCACTGCTGCCGCCGCCACTGCCGCCGCCGCCGCCGCTGCTGCTGGTTGCTGCTGCTGCTGCTGCTGCTGCTGCTACTTCTTGCTGGTTGCTGCTGTTGCTTGAATCCTCTGCTTTGCTGTCCCCCCCTCTTTCAATTTCGTCTGCGCAACCCCTTAAAGACTGAACGAAAACCAATGGTTGTGGAGGCTGTGAGCTTTGGTGCTTTGCTGCTGCTTCTGCTGCTGCTGTTGGAGTCGTTGCTGCTGCCACTGGTGCCACTGCTGCTGCTTTCTGCTTTGCTGTGCTGCAACTGCTGCTTTGCTGTTGCGGTTGCTGCTGCTGCCGCCGCCACTGCTGCCGCTGCCGCCGCCGCCGCTGCTGCTGCTCGTCTGCTGCTGGTGCTGGCGCTACCTTTTTGCTGTGCTGCTGCTGCTTTGCTGGTTTGCTGCTGCTGCTGCTGGCTGCTTGCTTCTGCTCAGATCACTACCAAACCCCCAATATATACATTATTGCTAAAGCAAAGACAACTCAGGTAGCGTAACGGCTACCTTTCGTGAAAAGCAATGGTAACTTCGGTAAAGTCAATGTTGGAATCATGGGGGTAGGTGTGAGAACAACATGTGCCATACACACGAACATACATGAACACAACCAACACATCACATGGTGGACCATCCGGCCGCCGAAGACGAAGGCGACGACCGTTTTCCGCATAGCAAGCAAAGCATTGTGCCCGCCACCATGTGATTTGTTGGTTCTTTTTCTGCTCGAGGAAGACAGAACACTCAGAACACCTGCATATTTTCAGGCAAGGTGTCCTGGCAAAGCATCCGCTTCTGCAGCAAATCCGGAAGAACCTAGGACTGCTGCGGCAACCCAACGCCCGAACCAGCGTCACCTACGAAACAACAGGGATGGAGCGAGGGGTCCACGACATGGAACAGAGGTTGAACACACCTCCACAAGGAGAAGCTTTGACAAGCACCATCCCAAGACCAGACGGAATGGGACTGGATGTTCCGGTTATGCCAAAATAGATGGGTCCATTGAAAATGGGATCTCAATGTATGTAACTATTCCAGTCCCATGGATGGTCCGGGGGCTTGTTGATTTCCATACAAACATTCATATGCCCATGCCACTGGGGGACAGTTCGATGTGAGCTTTTCTTTTGTCATGGGCAAAACAAACCTCTCCTTGTCAAGTTCTCCAAGAACCGATGTATCAGCTCTTGAGTGCTTCGGGTACTCCGATCCCTTCGTTTTTTTGGATCGCAGCTGAGCCCGGAGTGGAACAAGTGGCACCACGCCCCAGACCACCCGAACCGACCATGAATGAATAGGGATTGACCCTTTCTTGGAAATGAAGCGCCCGTGCTGTCTTGTGACCAGTAACAGCTAGTAGTAATGCATTTGTTACAAGTAGCGATACACTTGTTATTACTAGTTTGGAGCGCTTGGAAGCCACTGATGGTGTATGGTGTACCCCAATTGTATGAAAATCAACCACCCCCGGCGTCATCGGGAGCCAGCCATAGGGAGCCACATGCGCCAGTCGGAGTCTCCGGGCAAAACAACACCGGTGGTTTGGCGGGCGTTAAAAGCTCCGAGAAAAGAAGGTTGTGCAACAACTCAGCGCAAGGCAATGCCCCACACGCATTCCCACTTCCACCTTCCCAGTCTCACCTTCCTCAGCTCCGTGGATTACCCTAACACATGTCCCGCTCCTCGTGCTTCAGCTCGCTCGACCCAGCCGTCTTGAACGAACCATGAACCGCTCGATGTCGCGGCGCAGTTGATTCAAGTTGGGCATATCCCATTACCAGTAACAGTTGCACCTTAGTGAGGCGGTTGTCGCCTCGAGATGAACGGTCAGCGACTACGTACGGCAAGCCTCCATGGACAGGAATGCACAAGAAAGCAACATCAAGCTCGGACAGAGAGGCCCCCGAAAATGCCGAAATGCGTAGCTGCCTGAACAGCTAGCGGCGTGCAGCCAGGACATTGTCACGAATCTGAGTACATTCGAGATCTAGTTGACCTGGGTGGACGACTGCGGGTCTGCCATCCACTTTCCCAATTAAATGTATGTGTCTCGCTGGCGGAGACTTCTGTCGAAGAAACTGATCAAACTCGACGGCGAGGCGATGACCCGAAAGGAGCTTCGGCCGCCCCTTGAAGGCAGGGAAGCCACCCCGACACCAAGCCATGCAAGCTCATCAGTTCTATCCACCTTAGGACCTTAGGTCTATCAAAAGGAATGGGAACATACCTTGGGAATGCAAAACCAATTGGTGCACATGCAAAAAATTCTCGACTGCGCTGCCAAGGTTTGAGGGCCCTTAGCATCTGCTGTGGTGGAAATGTCCTTTAATTGGAAATTTGAGACTCCTCTCCAATCCCTCTGGTTCCCTGGGGCCACGTTGACCGGTGTGAGGGATTGGGTGGCCAAGGAGAAATCAAGATAAAGTTCGGTGAATGTTATCTTGGTGTTGCAATCACAGTGAGGCCCACACCACATCAACTGTCGCACCCACCACAAAAAGTCGATAACAAAAGATGGGGTGGTAAGGGCATCGTGCACAAAGATCAATATCTATGTCAAAATGTCTCAGGCGCACATTGTCACAAGGGATCCATTTCATCTGAGCAGTGGCCAAGATATCCTGTGACTGGATACGACCCCTAATTTGCGCCTCGGTGGTTTGAGTTTGTCTGAAAGCATTTATGGAATCAACCGAGGTCGCACCGACAAATTTATATTTCTCCAGAAGGTCAGTGCGCAAAGCATCCATTTTTCCCATGATTTGGGCGCGTTCTTGAAGTAAGGCTGGGCGATCAATGAAAAAACATTTTCTGCCTGGATGTCAACTTGTTCGTTGGCAAAAGCAAAAAATTGGAGAGTACTATCTGGAATGGTTGACCCATGGCCTGAACCTTTGTTATTGTGATGCCACAAAATTGTCCGGCTTCAAGGTGTTCAAGGTGTTCAAGGATTGGGCTCCAGATGTGGTGGTACCCTGGTTGTATTGCTGGCAATGTATTTGATTCGATGATGTACTGGAGTTGTTCAACTGCTGCGCTACAGTCGGAATAGAGGTCGGCTTCCCAAGCGTGGTTGAGAGCAAGCAAAGTAGCGAAGACCTCTGCTGTATAGGAATTGGGACCAATACCGAATACTTGCGAACGAATTATCAATTTGCAAGACAAACTGGCTGGAAAGCCTTGAACAACGGCAGCTCCTGCAATGGTCAAGAAGGGGTGATTATTACAGTAGGCAGATCCATCCAAGAACAAAGACGGACAGCTGGCAGGAGCAGGATTATGTCGTGGGATGGCAAAGGGTAATTCCTTCTCCAGTTCATTTAGGAACATTCGAAGAGGCAGTGGCACCAAGTCAGGTAAACCCAATTGCAACATATTTTGGCCCAGGAGATTGGCTTTGTCTTCTGAGATATTAGCCTGTATTCTCTGCTGGCGCCAATGTGGGCACTGGGAGATTCTATGGATGCGGGAATCCTCTTGGGAGCAAAAAGGGCAATTACCTGAAATATCTGATCGAAATATCTTAAAGACATCTTGCGTCATTCTTTTGCCCGTTATGTATGCTGAAACCTCAGCTTGATGTGACGGGCTCAGCTTTTGTATGAATGGAATCATAGTCGAGCGGAGTGCTGATGACTGATGAAGTCCTTCCTATTGATGAGGTCGGGGAGTCGGGGAGATGAAGATTCCAAAGGTAACGGCAAATTGTTTTGACGATTTTGGCCGATGCAGTTTCTAAGTTCAGGAACCCAAACTCTGTGACAATACCAAAAGCATTATTCTTAATGACTGGCAAACAATGGATTTTCCGTAGTGCCAAAATGAGCCTGGCATAAGGACCTGTTGCTTTCTTCATGGAGGGGTTCAAACTCTCGAATGCCTGCCTGGCCGAGACTTTCCTCATGGGAAAAGTCACAAAGTAACATCTCAGTGTCAGCAGCCTATTGGCGACATCCTTAAACTCTGGGTCCAAGGCCTCGATGGCGTTGCATGTGAGGAAGGGATTTGCTCCACCTTTAGATCTTTTGATTGCTAAGGCAGTTGACGATCTTAGGCTATGGAAATCGTCCTTTGCCATAATCGAAACTGCTGCTCCATAGCAATGCTTGGAATGTGCGGCTGCGCATCCTTGGTTTGAAGGAGTTTGGGATGTTAAGATTGGCAATTTTCTTACACTTTGCGGATCGATTTATGAACTTTAAGCGCACCAGTGGGTTTACGGCGCCTCTTGGAATAATTTTGTTGTACTCCTAAATCTTTGGCTGAATCACAAATCGGAATTTCAAGGAGGTTGTTCCCCCTTGAAGAATCTTTCGCTGTGAGGGACGATTTGCCCATAGCCAAGATTTTGGACGAGAGATTTGCATTCGAGTGGTCCGGAGGAACTCTGCTCTGCAAGGTGATGCAATCCAATCAACAACTGATCCGCACTCTGATGGACAAAGGACCAGCTGTCTGCAAAGAAAAGACATTGGGCCTGGGGAATCTTGTCGGTCAAAATCTTCCAAGCCCAGATACTTATCGCAAGCATTGCTGGCACGGCGAAAGAGCATCCCTCCACTATGCCGGTAGTGGTGCGGAAAAACTCGCCCGCCGTACCATCAATGATGAAAGCTCTTTTCATAGAATCCATGGCTGCAAGAAATGCACGAGGAATTGTTTCGTCAGCTCCCATTGCCAGCAAGACGTCGACAAGAGGAATTCGCGGCACTGCGTTGTACGCTTTGATTAAACCAAGGAGAATGCCTGCAATCTTCTTGTTAGCAACGAGTGCATCTTCAATGAGGTCGGCATTGAGTAACGCAATTAATTCACTGGAAACGCCCATGGCTGGGCCTCCAATTTCTTTGGGTAATTTCTCTGTAGGGAATTGACCTAATTGTTTGCCCCTGATCTTACTCCATACCCTATAAATCTTGGAGAGTATGGTACTGGGTCGGACATCCAAGGGGGGAGCAAGGGTATGGCCTTTTGTCAATCATAGAGTTTTGGCAACAACCCATTGCTGAGGCCAAATCCTAACATCTTTAATATGGTTGCGAATGTCTGCAAGGGTTGTACAATTTCGAGGGGCGTCTTAAGTGAAACCATCACCCCCCCGTGCGCTGGCCTTCTTGGTGGATCTAATGGCATTTACGAGTTCAACTGCTGAGACGAGATCGGTGTAAATTGCATTTTTGTATCGGACTTTGCAGAGTCAATGAACTGCTGGGTGGAAGCAAACTCGCCTTCCTGACGGCAGTCTCTCTGAAAGAGAGTGTTCCACTCTGCAGCGACCATCCGATGCACTTGACTGTGGTCTAAAGTCCAAGAATCTTGCTTTGCAATCATGTCATGCGACCACAATTTGATTGGCTTATCGAGGATAATTGCGTGGTCTAAGATGTCGATTACCTCAGCCTGCTGGCCTTGAAATTCGATTATATCCAATCTCAAGTCCGGTGGGCGTCCACAAAGGACATGTGTCTTGCCTTGTTTGGGCCACCTCTGTCGGGCAATTGTAAATTCTAAGGGCTTATGCACGAATTGCATGGGTGGTTGACTTTCATCAGCAATAGCCTTGAAGGATTCCGTACCACCTTTTTGCAAATCCAAGAGTTTGTTGATATATCGGAACTTTCTATTTTCTCTAGCAAAGTACGTCATGTTCGACGTATGCCATTCAACGAACACATCTGCTAACGCTGATGCAAATTCAAGATCTGGGCAGCAGCATGGGATGAACCCTGCACCAAAGCGAAACATCCAGCCTCCTGAGAAACCTTTGGCGTCCAGGATGGCCTTCCAAAGAACTTCAAGTTGTTCGGCAATGA